CCTAGAAATGATTATTAAAAAATCATACACACTACACAATCAAACTAAATAATTGCTATAAACAAATTTACCTGCTTTATTGTAATGATTAATCAACATTTGCATGATAACATCATACWAAGGTATGAGYAGAGGAGAAACAACCTWCTTTGGTCTGCGGGATGAAAAAATACCTACAAGCAAAGAGAGTTGATTAGATCTATTGTGAGAAAAAGGCAAAGAAGTTTTTAGAACAACTCTTAACAAAAATATTTTATATTCCTAGTTATTAGAAATTAGATCAGATTGTACCGAGAGGGAATAAGTATTTATTTTTTTGTGATAACTGAGAATTAATTTGAATTTGGAGTAACGTCTGTGTTTTAAAAACAGCAGATTTGATAATGGAGTGACACGTCAAGCATTTATTTGAATGGGTAATTGAGAAATTAATTTCAATTTGAAGTAATTATTCATTTATTCAATTTTAAATTGAAATCAAATTGGCGTTGTTTTAATAAACAGCAGATAATTAGGGATTCATARAGCTACACCTAAATATATAAATAAAAATCTATCCAAAAATTAAAACTCATAACATGTATGTGAGATGCCACATGTCAAACAAAAAAATTCCAATCTTCTCTATTAATTATTTCTACCAAACAATTGGTAATTAATATGAATTTAGAATAATGTGATAATATGTTTTCGAATTATAAAATTTATGGGTTTTATTGTAGAGCAGATAATCAGAGATTAGAATACCAAATATATGGTAACAAACTCCTATTAATTATTTGTAGCAAACAAATGGTAATTAAGATGATTAAGGTGATAATATCTTGGAGAATAAATCAAAATGGAAATGAAAACCGGTTAGTGGAAATTATTAATCTAACACGTTAACCTATATTAGTCGAAATTAATTCAATAACATTATCATGTGCGATGAAAAAAAAAATATATATTATAAAAAAATCGCGATTTTACCGAAATCTATTTCCAAATCATATATTGGTTTCCCCACAATGATCATGGATCGAGAGAGGAGATTTAAGGTACCTGAGTTTTCGACTCGTTCATTGCTACAGTGACTCTTGCCAGTCTCCGACATGGTCGCGTCAAGGAGAAATCTGGAAGATTCGAAGTTGGAAGTTTGTCATTGTTTGATCGACTTTTAGTTTGTGTGTTTGACGAGAGCTCAMGCATCGTATG